ATTTTGAGTTAGATATTATCTTGCTGTAAAGAATTATCTGAGCTTTAGAACGAACAAAAAACTGAAATCTTTAAAAAATTATTAAACTTTTTTAAAATTCGCCAATTTGGCGATATTTTTCCACCTACATGAAAATTATCAAAATCAATGCCTTATTCTTCTTCTTATTTTTTTAAAAATTTCAATGAGCATAGATAATGCACATTGGAGGAAGTTTCTAAATATTTAAATATTAGACCATAAATGCTTTTCATATTCTCAAAATTGTGTCTTTTCTTCATATTGATGTTTTGCGCCATTTTTAGAATAAGCATGGAGGGAGCTGGCTAAATATAAACTAAATTTGACCAAACGGTCGTGAGTAACAGTTAAAAACAGTCACCAGTTACGTAAATAGCATATGATAAGCAAAAAACCATTAATTTGATTTGAAGTCGGGGCTTTCGAAAAACAGTCTTATGTTAAACCTTATTACCTGAAAGTCGAATCATAAAAACATTTTAAATCGATATTTTTGAAGAAAAAATCCTTTATAAAAGAATACTTCTGGTGTAAGTAGAAACAATTTTTAAGTTATGTATTGCGTCACAGTAAATTTCACAAAAATTCAAAGTGTAATGTCAGATTAACGCACCAAATCATTTGAAGTTTTCTGTGCATTTTCAAAAAATAGATCATTCAAACTTTAAATTGTAATAGGAAAAAAAAATTTCTTTTCTTTTTGATATAAGGACAAACTTATCTAATAAAATGATACCAATAAGTATAAAGTATTTGAATATCTGAATATCAATCCCTCTGAATAAAGAAATTTTATTGCACATCTTGAACTTTGACCAGAATTAAATATTATTTGGAAAAAAAAATATTATTACAATTTAATGAATTAAATTATAGTTATTCTCTCTATACTTTTCTTTAACCAATACAGGATGAAAAAAAGATTATTTAATTTGTACTTTTCTCTTTTTTCATTTTCAGTTCCTCTATTGACAGTTCATTATAACTTAAATTTGTTCATTAGAACTGCAAAAGATATAACAAATAATTCAAAGATATAACAAATGATTCAAACGTATAAAACATCTTAATTAAACTTTATGATTAAAAAGAAATTGAAATGTTTAGTTTATCGAAGAAAAAACTATCGATTTATTTATTGCCGACAAGTATAAACTTTCGGTATATGGCATGTTCATTATTTAGGAACTTGTAGCATACTGGGTGTTCCTTCACCGCCCTGAATGTATATTTTTGGAAATCTTGTGAATAATACCGCCAAGATTTATGCGCAAGTGCAGGGCCTGGACAAGATAATGGAGATATATTCATATTCTAATTCATATTTTCCTATTTCTCCAGAAATACTTAACGAATTATTATTTGTCTTCAGAAGTGTTTAGATCATGCGATTTCTCATACATATCACTGAAGTTTAAAGCTTTTACAGGTTTGAGGGACCAACAAAAAGTTACAAATGGAAAATAATGTTTTTGAACACCCTATGCTAAAAAATGTAACTATAGATTTGTAACTTGCAACTGTTATTTTGGTTACTATATGCAGTAATTACACAAAATTTAATAAGCTTAGCTTAAATATTAATGGACATTTCGATAAAAAAGCTAATTTTTTTTTTGTCTTTTGTTGCTTTGCTATAACTTTAAAAATATTCAATTAAATTAAGCAACATTTTCAGAGCAAATTATTAAGTCTTTGCTTTAAAATTTGAGAAAAATTCGCTTTAAATTGTGTGAGATGAGCAATTAAAGCATTTTTACTTTTGATTATTTGCTTATTAAATGTCTATAATCTATTTGTCTATTAAAAATTTTGAAAAATAATATTGCAAAATAATATTTGTAGAAAACCCCTTATTATTTAGAATTTTCTTTTAAAAAGTACGAATACTACTTTGAAAATTGCTGGAAACTTTTCAAATTTTTAAGATATTCAAATGGTCTTTTTTCATTAGTTGCCAAATTCGATTCCCTACGAAATTGAAAATTTTTTTAAAATTTTTTTCCAGCACATGCGCAGTACTACTACTTTAATTACTCATAGAACTACACTCAAAGAACTACTTTAATTACTCATATCTTGCTCAGTTTGAAATGAATTTTTTTCAAATTGTCGGTCCCTCAAAACTCGAAAAGCTTTAAACTTCATTGATATGTATGGGAAATTGTTAGATCTAAGCACTTCTGTAGTTATAAAATAAAATATCCCATCTTGCTCAAAAGAGATTCTTTAGATTTTGATGGTGCACTTCCTCGCCTAAATGAGACCACTAATATGCATAATTTGTTGACTACATTTTAGACAATAATTCTTAAAATACACATAAAGGGTGGTCAATATGGAACACCTTGCATTTCAAAATTAATTAAGTGACATTCACCGGCAGTACTATAAAATTTACAGTGTATTTTACAGTCATATTTACATTTGATACCCTACTGAAAATTATTTGAAATACTATTCAAATAGTATTTAACTGAACCAATTTTTGAAAAATAGATAATTGATCTAATTTTGCAATATTCTATAATTATTTGAAGAAATAAACATTGAAAAAAACTAAACGGAGATTTAAAAAAAATAAACAAAAAAAAACGTTGCATAGTTTTTTCTAAATTTAAAAATATTCGTGATGCAAAATAATTTCCCAAAATATTAATCAATCTTTTTTCTCTCTCTCGGCTACTGCAGTTTTTCTAATTATGTTTCTCACCATAATCTTTCCATTTTTTGTTGGAAACTTCTATTATATGACTAATCACTTTTGACTTTTTTATCAACGTGTAGTTCTGAAAATGGGAGCCAGTTTTTGAGCGCTTGAAACGTGGTGACTGTTATTTCTGATTTGAATATTATTGAAGTTTTTAATCCAGCAACCTATTCACATTGCTTTTCAACAATAAATTTATGAATTTGTATATTTTATGAGTTATTACATGTATTGTTTTTTTTAATATTTAAACCTGATATTGGAAAAAATCTTTTAAAATATGGACTGATTTGACGTAGACTTGCTTCATCTATGTATCCTATGTACCCGGTAGAGCAATTTGCAAAGTCAATATTCTGAACTATCTTCAAACATTCAAATTTTCTGGGCAGGCAAAGATTATTATTGTAAAAATTAAGTTTAATTTAATATATATTTATCACAATTTGCAAATATTAAATTTAATCAAGTTATGCACAAAATATTTCTGTTGTTTAAATATTATTTGAATTACAATACAATCACAGTTTAGCTTTACCCAAAATGGAGAAAATAAAAATTAAAAAAAAAGTTGTGGTCACTTTATTTTAATCACTGGTTAGCCATTAGTCAAGTACTATTTTTTTGGTTAGACTCCAATAAACACCATAGCATTTCAAATCATGGGTTGCAAAAACTGTCTCAATTGTTGTTAGTCGTCGGATTTGTTTTCAAATCCTGGGCTATATGCGTGTTTCAAGATGTCACAAAATACTTTTCCATCTTCAGTATATATTTAAATAACAGTCAAGACAGTAATTATAAGTTAATAAAAGGAGAATATAAAAATACTTTAAATTAATATTGTGTAAATATATTAAAAATGACTACTAAGGAAAAGAAAAAAATAATTCTAAAAAAATTATCAAACTGCAACTGTCGCCATAGCAACGCAAGCCATGACGACTCATGCGCTCTGTTTACTATAACTCTTGAACACAGTTGAAAAGTGCGATGATGTCCAAATAAAGTGCACACGCCATCAAACCCGAAACGAGACCCATTTTGCCATTGCGTAAAAAAAGATCATTATATTTGGTTCAATAGCGAAATTAGGAAGAAAGTTTTAAGTTGCAGGTGATGATATATAATTTTTTTAAATTGCAGGGAGAACAGAATCGTGGTTTAGATAATTGAATTTGTGCTTTTTTAAAGTTACTTCAAAAAATTCATTACCATACCATCACTGGTACTTTGAAGACTGATAAAATAATAACCAGATAAATAAACATTGTCTTCTTCCGGTATAAAATTTTAAATAAAGCTACACTATTCCTTTCTTTTATAAATAATGATGGAAAAATATTTTTATTATTTCGTTTTATCTTTAATTTTCACCTTTTTTTGGTTTTTCTGCTCGAAATTTTTATCCATTAAAACTAATCTGCATATGATGAGAAAATCTGCAGAGCCCACTGCCGTGCTGGTGGTTTTGCTTACGAGCCCCTTAATATCACTGTTATTTATATGAATTAATTTTAGAAAAATATTCTTGTTGCATACAGTCGAATTATCTAAAAATAGTAAAACCAACTTTTTAGAGAATTCAGATCGATTATTTTACTTAAATTCTTTGAATGAAGTTTCGATTGCTTAAAATGTTATTGAAGATTAGAAAAATCATTAAAAGTTAAACAAATGAGCTGTTTACCGTATTCTGCTTAGGGAACAAGACATTCGAAACTAGTTTCAAAGTTTGTCCACAGATGGCGCTGCGTAAGGAAAAAATTTTAAAACAATATTTTCAAAATACCCAGAATTTGCAACTGCGATATGGTCTGAAGACAAAATTAATAAGCCTGAGCTCAAATACTTTAGTTTAAACTGGTGTGACATGCGTTTGAAAAACAAATTATAATTTTTTTCTTTTTTGCTGTCATCGACTTAGTCTGATATATATATAACAAGATGCTTATGATAACAAGACTTGTCATTAATTTTGAAGTTCGATGAGAAAATATACCAGTTAAGGAGAAGGCAGCAAACCTTACATTTATTTCTTCTTCAGGGCTTCTAAATCATTGATTAATTTTTTACATTGGGCATTATTTCGTTTTAAAAAAACGTTCTTTGTTGAGAATAGCAATACATTTTATGCGTAAAATTAGTTCATAACAATAATTTAGTAAAATTTTCAAATAAAATAACAATATATACTAATAATTTGCAGTTTTTATAAATTAAAACATATTTTGTTCCTCTTCCTGCTACACTTTTTTTTCCCTTAAGGAATGCAGAATAATTTGACTGCATTCCAAAATTATTCATGAAATGAATAAGATAGCTTCGTTAAGCAGCTTTCTTCTCTGTTATTTCCGAGCATGAAATTTAAATTGCACATGAAAAAGAAAACTCGAAAATATCACACACAAGTAAATGAAAATAATTAGACTGTTTTTGTACAAAATCAATTTAGACCAAGATACCTTTTGCTCTAAAGTAATAAATTAGGTTATACTGCTAATGTTTTATGTTGACTGTATTCAGAAGAATATGTGGGCAATAACAAATGAAAAATAAGAAATAACCTATTCACCTTTTATTTCATGACCGAGGTTCTCTCTATTATCAGCAGATGGCAGCACACTAAGAGGAGCTTATAACTTCCTCTTGATGATACGAATGCATAGATTGACACTCTGAGCTGCTATGTCGTCATAGAAGGACTGTAAGACTTCCGGTTTGAATTTTTTTTTTCTAGGATACTGGGTGAATAAAAACGTGAGGAAATAAAAGCTATGCTCATAAATTTTATATGTTGCTGCTGCGTGCCATTTACTTTAGCTGTCTTATTTATTTCAAGCGTTTAAGTGCCAAATTAGGTCATTATTTTGAATAAAAAGTGGTTCTTGATAAATTGTTTTTCTAATACCCCATTAATTTTCATCGACTTTTCATAAAAAATGATTTCATATCAAACTTGGTCCATAGTTTTGTATACTTTTCTATTTTTCTTCAGTAACCAATCACAAGATGAGTTCAAGGTATGTGATGAATCTCTGAATGTTGGGTCTCCTTGTGCCTCCGGAGATCGACTTTCCTCTGGAATGCCCTTCCACATATGTCACAGGCAAAAGGTTTGAATCCCGTGTGCTTCCTGCTATGGGTTATGAGATTAGAGGACTGGCTGAAAGCCTTACCGCATACGGCACATTTATGAGGTTTTTCACCTAAATAATAATAATAAAAAACAATTATTAATAATAAAAGAACAATTAGTTGGAAACTCAATCAAATATGAGACATTAAAAGAGAAAGGATTCATACAGGATGTTCCCCAGTCACCACCCTTAATGTTTAAAATTCCACGTCAAAAATAGTGCTAAAAAAGCAATGCATGTTAGGGGTCACAAACTAATTTTTAAGCGAATATAAATTTAAAACCTGAGCGAAATCTGACTATCACTATTGTGGAAGGTTGGATTAAAAATAATGAAACTTGTTCAATTGCCTGAAGAATTAAAGAAGAGGTGAATCGAAGCTGCTCTAAGTTTTCTCCAGCAATCAAAGAAGTTCAATATATATATATAAACATAAATTAACATGAAAAACATGAATAAAATAAATAGAGAAACAAGAATGGTAAAAGCAAATAGTCGTTATCAAGACACATCTATTGCTATAAATGCGATATTTCTGAATAAAGAATAATTATCCTAAGATAAAAATTATTCTTTATATGTGTCGATATCGCAAAAAACCTTATGTTGNGATTCATACATTTCATCTAGCTATTTCCTATTAGTATGGATCAAAATACTTCCTTAATCATGGAATCAAAAAATTTTATTTAGAGTGGGATGTAAATATTTACGATAAAATGAAGTCTAAATATTTCCAATGAAGTGGATTCATACATTTCATCTAGCTATTTCCTATTAATATAGATCAAAATACTTCCTTAATCATGGAATCAAAAAATTTTATTTAGAGTGGGATGTAAATATTTACGATAAAATGAAGTCTAAATATTTCCTGCATAGTGGATTCATACATTTCATCCAACTACTTCCTATTAATATAGATCAAAATACTTCCTTAATCATGGAATCTAAAAATTTTATTTAGAGTGGGATGTAAATATTTCCAATAAATTCCCAATGTTGCAGTGGAATTAAACTATTTCCTATGATTTGAAATCAAAATATGTGGAATCCAAACATTCCACTTCCAGTTCTAAAATCAAATATGTTCAGGAAAAATGCACTCTAAAAGGCAGTCGGAAACGGTATAAATCAAACTCCGGTTTTCTAAAGAGAAACTAAATTCTCATCCACAAGAATGGATTTCAACTTTTCATATCGTAAGTGAAATCTAATATGAGCTACGCTTAAATGATTTATAACCTACAACTGCAAACAAAAATTTATAAACCTCTTTATTCCTTCAAGCCTATCAAATGGTCTATAATTTTATAAAGAGATGAAAATTACATTTATCCCCAGGCAGTGTACGAATCAAAAACACATTCCACAAATTCCTGTTCAAACAATAAAAAACACATAATCCTGTTTATCTTCATGAATTCCAACCCATTCATTCCCTGTAGCATCTCCAACGAATAAAAAAATAAGTTACTTCGAAATATATATATATATTGAGAATTTTATTTTAGCCTGTTCACGGTCACTCCAGAATTTAAATATCCGTACCTTAATAAATCATTTTCATTAGATAAACCATCAAAAATTAAAATGGTTTTGATAATTATCTAACCTCTGTTATTGGTCTTACTCTGGGTAAGTGGAGCTTTAAATTTCAAGATTCTCTAATCACTGTTTATCAAATTATAGATTTAAAAGCCTGTATTTATTAGCAAACTTATAAGCTGATTTGCTAATACACAGATTCAATTATTTATACCTTCTTTCTCCCTTTATTCACTCGCTATATCAAGTATTCGTTATTATGAAAATTATCAGTGTGATACACTATTCATAAACAATATTAAATTGCAATTGCTATTTAATGATGACTGCCATCCTTTAACTATAGACTACATAGGCTTATAAACAAATAAATAAATTTAAAATGTGAAACCTGATTGAAACTAAAGAAAATTTTGTTTTAGGCACTTGGTTTTTCTTTTAAAATAATAATTTTCTTAAGTTTTATTTAATTTTGGGGTATTATTTTTTAAGAAAAGACATTGTTTTTGTTATATATTTACCATTAAATTGTACAAAATTTATATATTTTTTTAAAACCAATAATATTAAAATATTATATTATACGATTAAACGATTTATGAGATACCGTTTATATAATTAGTTTATAAAGTGGATATAGTTATACTATTTGAAGAGAAATCCAAATATTTTCTATAAATGCAAATCTAAATATATCCTACCTAATATATTCATACATTTCATCAAGCTATTTTTTATTAATAGAGATTGAAATACATACTTTAACGTGGCATCCAAAACATTTATTTAGAAAGGGATGTCGTAAATTTTTCCTATAAATTTAAATCTGAATATTTCCTATATAGTTGATTCATACATTTCATCCAGCTGTTTTCTATTAATGTATATCAAAATACTTCCTCAATCGCAGAATCCAAAAAATTTATTTAGATTGATCTATAAATATTTCCTATAATCTACATTTAAATATTTCCTATGTAGTAGATTCAAACATTTCATACAGTCTATTAGTATGGATAAAATTTTTCTTTAATCTTAAAATCTTAAACAATTATTTAAAGTTGGATGTGAATATTTCCCACAAATTGAAATCTACATATTTCTTATATAGTGGATTCATATATTTCATCCAGCTATTTCTATATTTATGTAGTGGAATAAAAAATCGAAATACTTCCTTAATTGTGGAATTCAAAAATTTCCTTTAGAGTGGGATGTAAGTATTTACGATAAAATGAAATCTAAATATCCTGCTTAATGGATTCATACATTTCATCCAGCTATGTTTTATTAATATAGATCGAAATATTTCCTTAATCATAGAATACAAAAAATCATAGATTGAGCTATAAATATTTCTTATTACATCTAAATATTTCCCATATAGAAGATGCATACATTTCATCCAGCTATTTCATATTAACATGGATAAAATTCTTTCTTAATCGTAAAATCTAAAAAATTTATTTAACGTAGAATGTAAATATATTTTCTGCAAATTTATATCAGCATATTTCTTATATTGTGGATACATACATTTCATCCAGCTATTTCTTATTGATAAAAAATTTAAATATTTCCTTAATCGTAGATCTCAGTGGATTCATAGATTTTATCCAGCTATTTCCCATTAATATAAATCAAAATACTTTCTTTAATCGTAGAATCCAAAAAAATTTATTTAGATTAAGCTATAAATATTTCCTATAAATCGACATCTAAATATTTTCTATGTAGTAGATTCATACATATTATCCAGCTATTTTCTATTAATATGGATAAAATTCTCCCTTAATCTTAAAATCTAAAAAATTTATTTAAAGTAGGATGTAAATCTTCCCTACAAATTGATATCTACATATTTCTTACATAGTGGATTCATACATTTCCACCAGCTATTTCCTATTAATATAGATTAAGATACTTCCTTAATCATGGAATCTAAAAATTTCATTTAGAGTGGGATGTAAATATTTACGATGAAATGAAATCTAAATATTTCCAATGTAGTGGATTCATACATTTCATCTAGCTATTTCCTATTAATATAGATCAAAATACTTCCTTAATCATGGAATCAAAAAACTTTATTTAGAGTGGGATGTAAATATTTACGATAAAATGAAGTCTAAATATTTCCAACATAGTGGATTCATACATTTCATCCAACTACTTCCTATTAATATAGATCAAAATACTTCCTTAATCATGGAATCTAAAAATTTTATTTAGAGTGGGATGTAAATATTTCCAATAAATTCCCAATATTGCAGTGGAATTGAACTATTTCCTATGATTTGAAATCAAAATATGTGGAATCCAAACATTCCACTTCCAGTTCTAAAATCAAATATGTTCAAGAAAAATGCACTCTAAAAGGCAGGCGGAAACGGTCTAAATCAAACTCCGGTTTTCTAAAGAGAAACTAAATTCCCGCCCACAAGAATGGATTTCAACTTTTCATATCGTAAGTGAAATCTAATATGAGTTACGCTTAAATGATTTATATCCTACAACAGCAAACAAAAATTTATAAACCTCTTTATTCCTTCAAGCCTATCAAATGGTCTATAATTTTATAAAGAGATGAAAATTACATTTATCCCCAGGCAGTGTACGAATCAAAAACACATTCCACAAATTCCTGTTCAAACAATAAAAAACACATAATCCTGTTTATCTTCATGAATTCCAACCCATTCATTCCCTGTAGCATCTCCAACGAATAAAAAAATAAGTTACTTCGAATCTATCACAAGACGTATTTTTCTCCCCCCCCCCATAAATAAACCAGTCCCATTTCCCACTGCAATTTCCATGCTTTGCCACCCAACTAAACTCCCGAAACCCCTCAAAAAAATTTCACCCCCCCCTTTTCCCCCAATAAAAAAGTGAGCAGTCAAAAGTGGCGATATCCTGGTTCCGGAAACCAGGAGCAGGAACTGTAAAATCTGATCCGCATTATCCTGACCGTGGTTACAAGATTAGCGAGAATACCTCCCCCCCTTTCATCTTTTACCCAGCATTCCTTGCTCTTTTCCACATGCCCCTTTTCCCAAAAGAGGGGCGCGTGCCCTCCATTAATGCCTCCACCACTCCTCCTCATTTAGCTTGATTCAAAGCAGATGGCCCCAAAGAAGAGGAAACCTAATTACTTGTCCGCAGCATCCAGTCAACCGGACCATTTGTCCTTCTGTCCCGCTCTCCGATTGCTCCCGATCCCGATCCAGTTAGTTCCTTTTCACTCCACATATTATTTATCCCGTTTCTCATATTTTAATCGCTTTGAGAAAAACATTTCTTTTCTACACTAGGAAGAAAGATTCAAAAATGAAAAGAAAAAAAAACAGCTCTAAGAGCCAATCATAAAATTGATTTTTATTTTCGATCAGTTTGCATATTAGAGGTCATTTTCCTGAAAAGCTAAAAAATACGTAACCACCATTTTTCTGAATATTTGTTTAAAAAAATGAAGTAAATTTTGTATAAAAAATTGAGTAAGAAAGTATTATGATGGAAGT